ATCAGGTGCCAATGGGTTGGCCACTGCGGTAAGGAAGCCTAAGCTTACCTTCTGCCAGGCTTTTGCAGCATGTAAGTCTATGGCCTTTGTTTAGCCAACTGAGCAGTAAGGGAAATAAGAACGGCTGAAAAACAACGGCAGGCAAACGAGCCGGGGGTTTGGACGTCAAGCCGCAAGCCCCATCAGGGCGACGAGCGAGTTATCTCAAAGTGGCGCAAAACACCCTGGGACCCACGGCCACGCCAGCTTTTCTGCATGTGAGCCGGGGACATATGTCCGGCTCGCAGGCTTCAGAGGTTGCGTGCAGGCAAGAAATGTAGAAGACGGGGCGCAAGTTGCAAGGAATCAGGAAATCAGCGGGGGTTCGGGCACCTTCTCTTCTCTTGTGACTTAACTTTTAACACCAAGATTCACTATACGAGTTTGGGTTGGGGGCAGAAGCTGAGGTAGTTCTTGTACATTTTGGATCAGGGGAGTGTTGCTGGGTCAACAAGGCTACCTCAATGGGTTGCATGCGGTAGGGGATCTTCTGTACTTATTTCTGGGCCCCTTGAAAGTGAACATGTTGACAGGTCCTTAAAATTTCGGTTCCGGGCGGTGTCCCTTTACCCATTGGTTTCGGAAACCAAGGGGAGGTAGCCCCTAGCCGTGCGCCCAAGACCGATTCCTACTGGCCATAGGTTCCACCTGGTTTAGGGTTACGGGGCCGAGAGGGCCTACCTTGACACAACTTTGTACGGACACCTTGCCAAAAAATGATGCCCATAGGGTTCTGAAAAAAGTGCGACCTTAGAAATAACAATAACAATAACCATAGCAATAGTAATAGTAATAGTATAGGCTCAGCTCGAACGAGCGGAATTTCGCGCCTGTCAGGAGCTGAGACGGTGTCGCACAGCCTTCAGGACCTGGCCGTGGCGGTGATCTTGTCCACGGTGGGGCCCTTCCTTTACCAGGCGCTTGGCCCTTTCCGCAGAAAAAAACACCCGAGGGAAAAGAGCCCCTTTACTTCCATTTGTTCAAGAATGTGTTTTTTTCCCCTGCTGGTTTTAGAAGGAGTCGATCACTACTGGAAATATGTTTTTATTTTTCCAGGGAGCTTGAGCAAATGGAAGTTTCGGCTCCATTTCTGGCGCCTCGAAAAGTCGGAGCAGTGGAAGTTTCAGCTGAAAGCGGCCGTTTTCCGGAGGCGATCAAAGTCAGCAGCGCATGGTGCTTTCATACTTGCCATGCGCAGTGCGGTGTGTCAATCCGCAAGGTTTCGCAGTTTTATGGAGAAGGATATCGGAAAGGAGAAAGACAGGGAACTGAAAGACGATTGCAGATACAGCAATTACCAAAAAGCAAAGGTACTAGGAGAAGCCATGGACTCCATGGACCCCCTTCACAGACTGGGCGACATGAAATCAGGGTCCCGCCCGTTTTTGGCAACAGATGTAGGACAGGCATTGGATCCAGAGGGGACTCGAGCACTTAGGGGGAAGGGAACCGATTCCCGTACATTGAGCCATTCATGTGCCAAAGTTTTGGGGGTAAGTGTAGCTGGTGTATTGCCTTGCTTTAGGCTTCGGTTCGACCCGCGTTCCAGAAACGAGGCGCTCTTGGAGGTGGCAGTATGCATCGCCCAGCCGTTCTCCAATGCCTCCGACGAGAAAGCCGCCGGAAGGATTCCCACACGGAAGCCGCTCATCACGGAGTTTTCATCCAGGGTTTGTTCCCCAAGTTGTCCTTGTCAAGTTGATGAACCATTCTGGCGATTTTGAGCTCGTTGCTTTGTCTTATGCAAACTGTCGCTTGCCCCCTAATTTGTTTCATCGTCAGAGTGAACCCCGAAGTGATAGGCTAGGTTAAAGGGAAGCACCTCCAGTTGCTGACTTAATCTGGGTGCAATCTGACCCCAAAGCGAAGCAACTGTTGCACCTGCTGAACTAATTTGTTCGCAGCCATCCTGAGGCACGGCCTTTTTGACGAAGCACACATTGCAGTTTGGCAATTTCAATTGGCTTCCATTTGCTTAAGAATATTGTCTATTTTCCCCTGTTGGTTTTAAAGGGAATCTATCACCACCGGAAATATTGTTATATAATTGTTCCGGGGCTTAAGCAAATGCAAGGTGGTGTGCCCTTGACTGGTGCTATTAAGTGGGCAGCAAGATGCCCTGCTCCGAGAAGTACTGCCGCCAACAGAAATCAGCATGTAACCGAGGGGGTCCTTTCCCGAACAGGGATTCCTCAAGCGATTGGACTCCGCCGGGTATGGCCCAAGAACTTTTAAGGTCCTTACGCAGGCGAATGGCTTGCATTGAGAGAGCTCTTTGGGCTACTTGGAGCATGTCTGCAACAGTTCTGCCCCAAGGCTTCTGAAAGTGGACCCTACATATTTCTGGAGCTCCGCGTAGATGGTTCTGGTCGCACTGGGCAGTGGGTTGACACTGGGATGCTTGCAGGCACATTTTCTGTCTCCCCGTGCCCTGTTGACGGCTTCTCTTGCGAAGGCCCTGAGTTGGTATCCTTCCGTCTTTGTTGGTAGGTTTCTGGGTTATTAAACAAAACAAGGCTTTCGACCACACCTTTCATCAGGCTGTCCGGAAACACGCACGTATGAACCCTTGTCGCCACGCACCTCAGCGGGTCTTTGCCCTGGGCGGGGAAAATTCCAGAGGGCCCTATATTTTCGCTTGAGTTTGAAACGTCACCATAGAGGTTTTGGTCAATGAAGTTGAGGCCCCATCGCATTCCAGCCGAACCGCAGTAGCTGAAACAAAGACAATCTATATGTTTACAGAGGCTTCCCTTAGGGGAGGGGGTTCTTTGGCCCTTGTTTGGCCCATTCAACGGGGTCCCAAGCGGTGAACCTTTTCTTTTCAAGTCTGGATAGGTGAATAGAGGATGGGAGAACAGGCAGATATCGGTTTCGCAGTCCTCCAATGCTATATCCCCCGGCAAAGCGCTTTCAAATCAGCTACAAAGAAAGGTGCCCGTTTTCCCCACTTGTCTGCACGGACCAGAATTTGGAAGCCAAGGACCTTTTTGTTTTTGGGTAGGTGGTTTCCATAGATCAACATCAATCGCCTATCAAAAAAGGTGTCAGTTCCTTGTGTTGAATGGACATCTGGCCGACCCTGCAACTCGCTCAAGGGTTCCTTCTCGAGGCTGCTGCGGAACCTCGAGAAGGACCTGCGGGACATCGAGTTCATGAGCTCTCACCTGCCTTGGCGACTCCGGCAGCCTTTGGGCCACGGGGGCAAGCGGGTAATATCAAAATCGGATGTAGATCCCACAAAACGGGGCAAGGTCTTCTTTTGACTTCCCTTGAAACCAACCCAAAAAGCTACCCTCCAAAACAGGCGAACACCATGTGACTGTTTTACTCTAAAACCGTTGATGTCACATCCTTAGGGCTGATCGTGTTTTGTGTTTGCCTTTGGCGCCATGTTGGTCTGACCGTGAGCGGTTTTTTTTTGAGGCTCGCAAGTCGAACGGGGGAACAGGTTTCGGAAATCGCCAACGCGGAGTGTCCCCCTTGTTTGACTTGGTGCGTGGCGTCCCTGAGTTGTCTAGGGTTGTTATTCTTTCGACCTTCTTGGGGGTTATAAAAGTCAGAGATCGGGCTGTTGGGGTGAACTTACAAACCCAGTCTAGCGGACATGGTTGCTCAGGGAAGTCCATCCTCATTCCTTTGCTCGGTTTGGGACCGCCTGAAAATGGTTAACCTCCAAGAAGTTGGTTCCGATTCGGTTTTTACTACGGTCACTGGGCAACTGAGTTTTGGTGTGTTTCTTGGTGTCAAGTTCATACTTTATGTTTTTGGCAGGCCCTACTCCAAACCTCCAGTAGCGCCCCATTTTTCCTTTCTTCAAAGTCAAGTCCCATTCCGAAGGTTTTAACGAGCTTTGGACGGTTTCGAAGACCTTTGGAAAAGATGTGCGATGACTAAGCAGCTGAAAGAACGGGTCTTCCTCCACCTGTCCCGAGTCTTTGTCTGGCAGGTTGTTTCTTGATTGTGTTTGTTTGTTTGTTTGTTTGTTTGTTTGTTTGTTTGTTTGTTTATGTGTTTATGTGTGTGTTTCAGGAAACCCTTGAACCCGTGGTTCTTGTGTTGTGCAAATGGGAGACACCTGGTAGCCTCCAGGCCACCAACCCAAACAACCAATGAGAGGAAGCTGAGTGTTTGTTCGTTTGTGTGTTTGTTATTTTTGTTGTCTCTGCTTGTTTGCTTACTTGCTTGCGGCTTTCGTGCGCGTTTGCTCGCTTGCCTTGCCCTGCCCTCCCCACCCAGGTGGCAGCAGCCCTACTTCAAGCTGCCGGCATGAGGTCAGGCTGCGGCGCTGCCAGGCGCGACTGGTTTCCGGAGCCTTTGCACCGTTTGGAGGATTGAAACGTCACCCTTTGGGGCCACCCATATTTGGATGAAGATGGAAATCAACCGGCCTGCACCCACGGCTTTTGTTGCTAAGCCATGTCCATGCAACCCTACGAAAAGTCTATCGACCTTTTGCTCGGGCCGGTTTTTGCAATTCAATTTCGTGCAGGCCAGTGGCACCCGTGAACCCCCCCAGCACCCCCACCCGCCCCCCCCCCGAACCCCCCCCACCTTGCCTGGTTCGAACGCAAAACCCATGGCCCAGTCTTCCGCGGCCAGGCTTCAGAGATCTTCCGCGGCACTCGCGGCGAAAAAGGGCGGGCGCTGGTGGCGACCGCCGAGCGGTTGGAGATTTGGGCGCGCGGACGGTGCATTTTGGCACCCCAAGACAAGGTCCCCCAAGTAGTGCGCTTTTGCCTGTTTTTTGGGGAGGGTTCCCTACGAAAATAGACTACGGGGTACCCTGATTCTAACCTCTCTACTGCAGGACCTAGAAACACAAGATCAGCGAGGCGGAGTTTTGGCTCTAGGTTTCACTAGGGAGATGCAGAGGTTCGAGTTTCATGGCTTGCATCGGTTTCCTTGCAACGGAACCTTGTGGTGGGTTCCATTACGGGAGAAGTAGTCACCTTTGGCAGGCAAAGTTCGCTGAGAGCCTGGCAGCAATGAACCAGGCGTGGCGGATGTCCCTGCCCCTTTTGCTTGTTCAGGATGGGCGTTCAAAGCCTTGGAATTCGTTTTTTCTCACCAAAGCGGCCTAAAGTCTTGCCCATGGGTTGATGGACCCGTCGGGAACGGAATGCACCCCGTCCAGGAATTCACGGATATTGGTTCGGGAAGTCAGGAATTGTCACATTCCCGACTGAGAATTCAGCAAGTGGCAAGGATAGATGTGTTTGCACCGCGGCACCCCGCAACATGCTTCAGCCAGCGGGCTGTAAAGCTCTCAGAGCTGTTACCAGGCTTTCTAGCACATACAAAGCATCGAGCTTGCTTTGTGCATTACAAGCTTCAGCATTACGCTTCATGCAAAGGCATTCGCGAGGCCTGGGCATTTCGCTGGAAGACGAAAACGAAGCAAGACAGCAAGGAAGCGCCCCTTCGCTGTACACCTAAACATTGGCACACCACAAGTCATTTCATCAGGAATATCCAAGCGTGTCGCGTCTTTTTCAAGCGGGGCAATTACTTCGCTCGTCTTTCACAGTCCTTTGCCTCCTTCTCAGCATAGGGCCAACAGACAAGCAGGCATACCGGCAGACAAGCATATACAAGGGAGGATGAATGAAAGCCCAGCCATTGACTTCTGGCTTCTTGCTCATGTCTACCTTTCGTCGTTAGTTTCTCTGACGCTCCTTGCCGGTGATTTTGGTCCCTAGTAGCTTTGGTCCTGTCCTATCTGTGCGCGGAGGCGGCACCAACGGAAGCAACGCCCACGGAGACCGAGACGCCGTGCGGAGGCAATGACGAGAGGGTGTGACACGCGGAGGTATTCGGCAGAAAGTATGAGGGGAACGCTTTTTGCAGTGGGGGCGTTGAACAAGTTGTTTTGGCCAACTGGCAACAGCAGCGTTTGCCGCTAGATCTCATTTGCAAGCCAACCAGCTGCGAATGCAAGCACGGGAATTTCCTGCTTCTCAGCGCAAGGCCTTTGGCTGCTTGTTTGATTCAACAGGTATGCCCTCCATGATTGCCAATGATTGCTGTGTGTTCATTTCAGTTTCCGCGATGATTTCACTTAGGAAGTTGCTCAACCCAGGGTGGGAAGAACTAAATGTCGCTTGCTGCTTGTGTAAGTTTTGGGCGCGGACCAGCACAGCATCAGTATGAACTGTGCCGGGAGAGAGTTTCGAAGTAGGTGCCTGCCTTTCCACGGCGCAAACCGGGTAGCTGCCTGCATGACCATGGAACCAAGCTGGACAAGGACCATCACTTGCTACCCCTAATCGATGCAACCAGCAACTAGTCAGAATAGTTGCACTCTCTTTTTCTTCTCCGGGGGAGCCTTAAGAATTTTAAGGCGAAGGGGGAAGCGGTCTGTTGCAGAAGTGATCTTAGCGGGTCACTGATCATCAAACGCGGGGGGAAGGAACCGTGTTTTCCACCCCCAATACTGGTGTCTTGACTTTTCCGGCTTCTTCGGCTCCACCCAAAACCGGAGCCCTTTTGAGTTCTAGCTTTGGTGGGGGGCTTGGTTTGGAGCTCCCAAGGCCTGCCCACGGTTGGCACCTTCATTTGGGGGCCGCTTCGCTTTGCAACGCGCGCGCACAGGCGCGGAGCACAAGGAGCCTGAGGCCGGCCGGTGAGGGAAAATGACTAGAGGACGATTGGCCCGAAAGCATTTTTCCATAGGTGCTCATCCAGCCGCGGAGAAACCTTTTTACATCGCTGCGGCGAGCGTGTCTGCGCGCGGCGATGCTCAGTGTGTGTGGTCACATGAGAGCTCCATCTCATCATCCTACTTTCCTCTCGAACTGCGCCGCGCGATTTCTCACGAAAGTGGTCTGCGCAAGCTGCATTGTTCCAGGCTCTCTGCAAGCTGCTGCACGCAAGTGCTCGCAAGTGCTCTGTGCAAGTTGCTCTGCGCAAGTGCTCTGAGCAAGTTGCTCTGCGCAAGTGCTCTGCGCCAGTTGCTCCGCGCAAGCGCTTTGCGCATGTGCTCTGTGCAAGTTGGTCTGTGCAAGTTGCTCTGCGCGAGTTGCTCCGTGCAAGCGCTTTGCACATGTGCTCTGTGCAAGTTGCTCTGCGCAAGTGCTCTGAGCAAGTTGCTCTGCGCAAGGGCTCTGCGCCAGTTGCTCCGTGCAAGCGCTTTGCGCATGTGCTCTGTGCAAGTTGGTCTGTGCAAGTTGCTCTGCGCAAGTGCTTTGTGCAATTGCTCTGTGCAAGTTGCTCTGCGCAAGTTGCTCTGCGCAAGTGACTCTGCGCAACGCTGCTACTGTCTGTACTTAAAAGTTGCGATTTTCCAGCCGGAGCTGCAGGAGCACGCTCCGCGTACTACGTTTGTACTTAAAAGTTGCGATTTTCAAGCCGGAGCTGCGGGGGTGTGCTCCGCGTACTACGTTTGTACTTAAAAGTTGCGATTTTCCAGCCTGAGCTGCGGGAGCACGCTCCGCACACTACGTCTGTACTTAAAAGTTACGATTTTCCAGCCGCTAGCTGCAGGAGCACGCTCCGCGTACTACGTTTGTACTTAAAAGCTGCGATCTTCAAGCCGGAGCTGCTGCGGACCAGGGGGGAATCGAACCCGCGACCGCGGGATTGCGAAAGCAGGCGCGCAAACCACGAGACAACTTCCAAAGGCCGTTTCGCGAGCAAGAAAATTGCACGGCGCCACAGCGAGAGCGCTTCGACACGCACAATCTCCGCAGAGGGTTCGCCGAGACTAAGACAAGTTCGCACGGCGCCACAGCGAGAGCGCTTCGACACGCACGATCCCCGCAGAGGGTCGCGCGCAGCCAGCAGAAATCGTAAAAGTCCTCAGTTTTTGAACCTCGACCACGCGAATCTCCGCAGAGGGTTGCGCCTCAGTTCTTTAACCTCGACCACGCGAATCTCCGCAGAGGGTCGCAATCCCGAGCGACGATCAAACTCCCGCCCCGGCGCCTTAGAAACCTAAACTAACTTACATAGCTGCTAACGCCGAAGCTCTACGCAAGCTCTACCTAACCTTGGCTCTGTGCCACCTGGCTCTATGTAACTTGGCTCTATGTAACTTGGCTCTATGTAACTTGGCTCTTGGCTCTATGTAACTTGGCTCTATGTAACTTGGCTCTATGTAACTTGGCTCTATGTAACTTGGCTCTATGTAACTTGGCTCTATGTAACTTGGCTCTATGTAACTTGGCTCTATGTAACTTGGCTCTTGGCTCTATGTAACTTGGCTCTATGTAACTTGGCTCTATGTAACTTGGCTCTATGTAACTTGGCTCTATGTAACTTGGCTCTATGTAACTTGGCTCTTGGCTCTATGTAACTTGGCTCTATGTAACTTGGCTCTATGTAACTTGGCTCTATGTAACTTGGCTCTATGTAACTTGGCTCTATGTAACTTGGCTCTATGTAACTTGGCTCTATGTAACTTGGCTCTATGTAACTTGGCTCTATGTAACTTGGCTCTATGTAACTTGGCTCTATGTAACTTGGCTCTATGTAACTTGGCTCTATGTAACTTGGCTCTATGTAACTTGGCTCTATGTAACTTGGCTCTATGTAACTTGGCTCTATGTAACTTGGCTCTATGTAACTTGGCTCTATGTAACTTGGCTCTATGTAACTTGGCTCTATGTAACTTGGCTCTATGTAACTTGGCTCTATGTAACTTGGCTCTATGTAACTTGGCTCTATGTAACTTGGCTCTATGTAACTTGGCTCTATGTAACTTGGCTCTATGTAACTTGGCTCTATGTAACTTGGCTCTATGTAACTTGGCTCTATGTAACTTGGCTCTATGTAACTTGGCTCTATGTAACTTGGCTCTATGTAACTTGGCTCTATGTAACTTGGCTCTATGTAACTTGGCTCTATGTAACTTGGCTCTATGTAACTTGGCTCTTGGCTCTATGTAACTTGGCTCTATGTAACTTGGCTCTATGTAACTTGGCTCTATGTAACTTGGCTCTATGTAACTTGGCTCTATGTAACTTGGCTCGGTGCAACTTGGCTCTGTGCAACTTGGCTCTGTGTAACTTGTCCAAGGGCTCCGCACGGAAGAACCCTTCGATTTTATAGCGAGCTCTGGGCGTACAACGAGCTCATGATGAAAGCCCTTGACATCCATGCAGTTCTTATTTCAGGCTTTGGGATCTGAACCTTTGGTGCTTGACAGGGTTTTGGAATTATCCGAAGTTTTGCAGATACACCCCTTAGTTGGCTTGGAATGGTGGGGACTGCGGATTAGAACCTTTGCTGCTTGAAGGGGGTTCACTTGGGATTTCCTCCCAGAAGACCACCAAGCCACCGTGCCAAACCACAAATTGGAGGGAAGCTAGCAAGGGGGTCTGTCTTTTTTGAGCCTCGGTCCTTTCGGTTTTAAAGGTAAACCAAAAGGAAAACCTCACAAAACGGTGGATCCCGGGAACCCGAAAGAAACAATGCACACAAATGACGTGCTCCGTGCTTGGCTGCTATTTGGGTCTTTAGAGTTTATTTGTTTTTGGGGGAGGGGAGGGAAAGCTATTTTCCTTACGAAGGAGCAAGTTGAACTTTTGGCACAGAGCCTCCCTCACTTCTCGAGTTTATGAGCTTTGAACTTTGTGGGAAGACCGTTTTAGTGGTAAACAACAAGTTTGGTTTCTTTTTTTGGCCAGTCCACTCAGGATGTCCCAATTAACTCAGTTACCCAGTGGCATCCTCTTAATCCTTTTTAGGGGCTTCCCACAAATGGTGCGCTCTAACGCAGGGATCCCGACATTTCTCTTCAGCCACCTCACCAAACGGGCACTCACTTTCTATTGGACATTGGGCCAAAAGGTGGTGGTTTAAAACCACCAAGGGGAATCAATTGAAACACCCTCGGCGCTGCTTCATTTCGGCGAGGCAGCAGCATCGCAGGAGACTACGGCGAGCGAGCAGAGAGGCCCGCCGCGCCGTGGCGCCGAGGTGGCGGTTCTTCCAGAGCTCGGGATATGTTCCCTAAGGCATCACCTGAGTCGCAAAGGGAAGTTGCTTTGATGTCATGCGTAAAAGTTGGAATTCTAGCCAACCCTGTCCTTCGAAGGGTTTGTTTTTCGCGGGGTCATGATTTTGACTGCTTCGCGGGAGTCATGTTGACTGTTTCTAGTCTCAATTGAAATGATGTGTCCAACCTCAACCCCCCTTTCAAGCCCAAGCATCCCGTGGTGCTCCCGTTACAAAACAACTATCAAAACAAAGGTGACCTTTTGGTGTGAATCTTCCCGTGTTGGCAACGCCAGCGTTCCCTCAGGCTTGGCAATAGCTGGCTCTACCTTAGTTTGGATGCCTTGGCCAACGTGGTGTCTGTTATGCACATTGTGAAGCGTACGTGCTGATGGCAGCCAGGAGCGTGGGTTGTCAGTCACAACTCTCAGAACTCCGCAGCTGGCTTCCTTGTCTTTCAGTCCGAGCTTTGTTCAATGGGTCTCTCTTTCCTGGTGATTTTCAAGTTGGTTCGCCCATTTCCCCTGGCCAGATCGTTTTGTAGTGGGGGGCACTTGGAATCCTTGAATCCTTGAATTGTACAGCAAACTGCCTGACTGCGTTCGGCAGTGGAGAAGCTTTCATGGCCAGGCAGCGGCATGGCGTGGCGTGTTCACTTTTTGACATCAGGGCACCTTTTCCCTTTAAGTGAAGAATGAGTCATGATAAGTACCTGACTGAGTCATGATAAGTACCTGACTGAGTCATGATAAGTACCTGACTTGGATCCAGATCGGAACTGTTGCAATACCGCTGCACTCAGGATCGTACGCAGCCCGGCCTGCTTCCAGTTCTGACTAGTTCGATCGGTTCTAGGCAGCCTCGCTGCTGATCAGTTTTGTTAGTTTTCACATACATGGCAATTGGCCTGTTTGAGTAGGGATTGGGATGGCAGTTGAAACTGTTGAACGCCAAGCTAGATTCTTACCTTGGCATTGACGTGCCCCTTTTGCCATGGCTCGGTGGGTGCGGCTTTACTTGGCATTGCTGCTGGCTTGGCAGCTCAGCGGCTTCTGCCACTGGGTTTTCACTGCCGCAGCACCTCGGCGGCGGCTGGTTTGCCGGACCGTGCGCCAGGTGCGCGAGAGGCGCCAGGCGAGCCTGCGACCCCGGGGCGCGCAAAGGGGGAGGGCAGGAGCTGGAAACACGGAGCCAAAGATCATCACAAGCCGCGTCAAGGGAGCGACATTGGCAGCCGAAGTTTTAGACATCATGCAGTTGGAGCACAAGAATCCAGAGTTGAACCTGATCTCCGTCTCCGCTGCTTGGAGCCGGCTTGCCAAAATCCAGCGCAGCTTCAGCCCGGAGGTGACCAAGTCACCATCGCTTACGGTGTTCGTGAGGCTCACTGCTTCTCTTTTGCGGCCATCAGACAGGCCCGAGGCCCGTGGAGTGGCAAACATTTTGTGGGCAGCAACCAGGCTTCATCGTATGGCTTCCTCGCAGCTTACACCGCTGTGGGCAAGTTTGGCAGGTGCAGTCACAACCGCTGCAAAAGATATGAACGGGCGAGACATTGGCAATTCGATTTGGGCTGTGGCAAACCTCGCCAGCAACACTGATTCTGACACTCCTTTTCACATACTACCTTCATTGGCCAGCAGGGTCCCGCATGTGGTGTCAGAGATGAAGGCCCAAGAGGTTGCAAACATAATTTGGTCAGTGGCAAAGCTCGCCACTACAGATGCAGAGCCAAAAGCGCTGCTTGACCTGTTGCCGTTGCTAGCATGCAGGGTCCTTGATGTAGTGTCAGAGATGAAGGCGCAAGAGGTTGCCAATGTGATTTGGGCCACTGGGCAGCTTTCGCTCGATCCGGGCCAGGCTGTCATGTCACTGGATTTGCGCAAGGTGCTTCCTATTGTGCTGGCTCGTTCCATTGTGGTTTTGCCTTCGGCCACTCCGCAAAATATTGCAAATTCTTGCCGGGGGTTGGCGCTGAGCGACCACCAAGATGCGGCTTTCCTTGCAGCTGTGGCAGAAAAGGTGGCCCATGAAGCTGCCGGTTGGCAGCTGACAGGTGCCAACAAGGACCTGCCTGAGCTGCTTTTCGCTTTCGCACGGCTAAAAGCCGTAGGGCACGATGACATGCTGGGAGTTGCAGCTGAGAAACTCTCAGCCATGGTTGGCAAGCTCAATGAATGGGGCCTTTGCGCCACACTCTGGTCATACCAGCAGCTGGACACAGGCGACGACTTTCTCGGCTTCCGGCAACGCCTGCAGTCAGAGGTGGCGCAGCGCCGGCTTTCAAAGGAAGATGTGCAACGCAGCAGTTTAGGACTTGAGGCCTGGCAGCTGGCTGCAGGGAAGCCCAAGCGCAGGTCAAGCGTTTGAGGGGCAAGATGCAGCCCGGCGCATGTCACTTTTGTCTCACTTGCCCAATGCCAGCATTCCCATGTTGGCCCATTTTGAGTCAGGGTCCCAAAAGGTTAAACGTTTGTGTGCTTCTGGTATAGATGTCACTCACATCGGGCAACTTCTAGAGACATGCAAATGCCTCTAGCCAGAGGATATGCGGAAGAGGCGCACCCAGCCCTGCCGAGTGCAGGGGTAGCAGCCACTCCTCGCACCCAGGGCTGCCGAGTGACCTTTCCAAGCCTCCGGATGGCCAATACCACTAGCGCCTGGCTGACGTCGGCAGAGAAAAGGCACCGCTGGCTGCTGGATAAAGTTTGTGAACACTTCTTCACAGGGGCCAACTTGAGGGAGACCTCGCACATGTTGTTACTTCAGCTGCAGTTTTGCAACTTTGACATTTGTGCATTGTTTCACGCTATCTTCTATGGGCAGCCACGGATTCTTCAGATGTCCCAAAGAAATGACACCAGTTTGTTTCAACAGCGAAGGCTTTTGGTTGGTAGACGGGATTGGCGGCGATGATTTTGTGACACCCCCTTGGATGTGGCCAAGAAGAGCCTCAAAGATCCACAAAGGCCATCCATGCGATACACCTTCAAAGCAATCATCTCAAGCCACTTTCCCCGCTTGCCTACAATGATTCGTTCTTTTCCTCGGCCGGTTTGAAAGAGGAATGGCAATGACGGGAAACATGCTACAGTTCATCCCCTAAGACCTCATTGGGAGCTGAGGCTTATCCTTGTTTTACCCATGACCCCCGCACCAAGAAACAGATTCAGGGTCTTGTGGCTGTGCGGCCTGCACTGCTTGGTTTGCCATAGACTTTTCACATTGAACTTTGCACCATGAAATGTTCGAACGTGTACCAAGGGGGGGTGTAAGACAGAATCCTTTCAATTCATCAGTGGTGTATCCATCCCAACCAAAAGAAACGTGAAGGGCAGGATGCGAAGAACCGTTGAATCGACTCACTAGGCACAGAATGTCAAAGAGTTCGTTTGCATAGGGGTTTTCTCAAGGGTTAAGCCGGCCGCGAGGTGATGACACCCCGAGGTCAGCAGACGCCACTGAGGTTCAGGTGGGTGAAGCGATCGGGGTCCTTACATGTCTCGGGTGATTTAGACGGTCTTTCGCTTTTGTACCACCTTCAACCGTTACACCTTTTGCGAAACGACAGTTCTTGTTTTGTTTGAGTACGAGCCATGAGCAAATTAAACTATTCAAGGGGCAAAGACCAAGCCATTCAACTGCACTTGTTGCTTGAACGCAGCGCATTTTGGAGCTCCAAGCCGGTATAGCCAGGTCAGGTGAATTTTGGGTTGTCTCATTGAAAGGGTGAATAAAGCTTAGCTTGTTAGTCGAACATTTGTGTAAGGTTCCGAGGACACAACATCGAACCGGCATTTTGGTTGCACTCACAGCTGCTAGTCTGCATTCCTAGATCTTTATCCGGCATTTTTTGGCCGCAAGGCTATTGGCAGCAAAAATGTCCACAGAATTCGCAAAAATTCACCAATTAAAAAGCAACCGCAGACGCGCAACAAACAACACCCAAATGCAAGAAACAACGGCGCAAAACAAAAATAACAACTGCCAATTTCCGCCGATTACCCGCCAAATTTGGCCAATCGCCCGCCGAATTCCGCCAATGTCCCTTCACGCTTTCGGGGAAGGAAGTGCGCTACATCAAAAACGCCGACAAGTGACAAAAAAGCCGAAATGCAAGACAAAACCGCCGACAAGGCGCCCTTTTGCAAACGTTGCAAAACGGCAAACAGTTCAGCCGATTCGAAGATCTAGGTTTGACTCATCTCGGACATCCGCAGCAACGGACCAAGCGACCAAGCCAGTGTGTAGACAACTTGTGATTCCACAAGAAGTGCCATGCGGCTTCGTTGTTCATCGAATTTACCTCTTTGGAATTGACATTCACGATGTATTAGAAAATAACGGGGCCAGATAGCACGGGTTGACAAGCTCACCTGTGCAGCCTTTACTTGTCTCTTGACTCATCTATTTCAGTCAGACATGCCATGCTAATCCAACAAGAACTTCAGACATTTGTCACTCCGCATTCATCAGGACGCGCTGGGCGTTGTGGCCACGCTGTTGGCACAGGCGCCCGGAATTCCTCGTGTGCGTTTGCGGTCAAAGGGCCTCCAAGGCCCAGACCTCCGCTAGGGCCCCGCTTCACGTCACGGCAGCCCCTCATGTTTTCTACACCCCAGTCCCCGGTTTTAAAAACAAAGGGGGGGGTTGTCATTTCCGGAGAAGAACACCTTGATATCAAGAAACGGGGGGTTATGAATCCGCCGTCAACATTATCCAAGAACGGCGCCCTTTTCTCCCCGTTGTCTGGACTAGGTTTCCCTGCATCCCTCCTTGGTAGTTTGAGGCATCACCGCGTGCTGACTTTAGACCTCTCCCGTTTCCTACCAGGGAAGCGTTAAATCTGAAGGGACTAAGGTCTGCTCGGGCACAAAGGGTGAGCGTGGCATGGTATTGATGACCGGTTTCCTTCAGGAAAGGGTTGATCATAGGATCCAACCTCCCTCTCCCTCCTACCTACTCGCCCTGTTGTCCCAGTTGATTTCCATTACAAGGCGTTCTGGAAGGCCTTATTTGGTTGAAACCACCTATGGGTTTTTTGGACCTCATAATCCTGGTACGGCTGGCTTATTTGATGCCAACTGTCCGGAGAGCAGTGGCTCCCTCATGGGTAAGCCCAGCGATACCATCGAAGTCTCAAGTGCTCCCATGTGGCGGGAGTCATGGTTTGATAGATGGGTCCAAAAACGGCTTGACGTGTTCAACATTCTGTAACAGGGGAATAGGGGACATTCAATTGCCCAGCGCGTGTCTAGCGCTCTACACTCTCTTTTTGGCTTCCTCTCAAAAAGAGCGAGCCAGAACCGTCGGCCAGAACCTCTACACTGTAGCCCGCACATACACAAGTCATTTGGAAGGACCTCGCTGTCGGCGGGAAGCAGTTGCTTCCAGGTTCCTTGTTGCAGGTTTGGGAATTATTCTCCAGATTTGTTTTCCTTCATGGCAACCACCAAAAGATCAAAAAAAAGGTTGGAAGTGTCTAGTTGGAACGAGACTTGGCCGCACCAGTGGTTCTCTTTCCTTGCAACCGACGGCTGCCAAGCAACCAGCTAGAGGAATGTCTGCAAGATATCTGACAAACACCCAGCACAAACCATATATTCTCAGATGTACTGTCCTGCAGCTGTTTCTGGGGGTCCTGGTTCGATCCGCTTGCTGGATCCGCCAGGCGGTGAAATCGCAGGCACCGGGGGGGGAAGAGAGCGCTCGAAGCGTTTTGCAGAGTTGTTGCTTCATTGTCTTGAGTATGTGGGACAACATGTAACAACCAGCAAATATGCTGCAAGCTGTGAGAGCCCAACTTGCAACAGCTGTTGCTTGCTGGCAATGCAGCCTGACTTTGACGCCACGCGGCTTCCCCGCGCCAAGTGTGGAGTATGTCACACGTGGCTGCAGCGCTACAGCTCTCTTGCGACTCCTTTAGCGTTTGACGACTTGCCCGTTGTGATTCTGATGATGCGTTTTTGTTTATTCTTATTTTTTTCTGTGAAACACTCCTCAGGAAGTTGATGACCATGACTTCTAAGTGGATTGTGAAAGTCGACCTCTTATGAGCGGCCATCAGGGGATGCATTGGTTGTTAGAGTCCTTCCAAGCGGCCTCTCTTGGTTTCTTTTCGGATATCCGCAGCAGCGCTCATTCTAGCAGTGCGTTGGTTGTGGTTGGCGGCTCCATATAAACCAGAAACAAGCTTGCCCCTTCTGAACCCCCAAAAAAGCACCTAGCTGGGCATGCAAGTACTGCTGCCCGTGTTGCGACTGAAATCAGCGCCATTCTCTCAGTCAGGGCACCCTATATTTGGGTGTGTTCTTGCTGGATGCCCATCTCAGCTTGATTTACCGAGAAACCAAAAGGACCCCTTATTTTGCCGCATGCCATTTTCCTTTAGGTTGAATCATCCTTTCTTTGGGGGGCAAAGGCGCACTGTTTCAGGAGAAGTCCGACTCATTCGCTCGCTTTTGGCGCGAGCTCAGGCCAAGCCTTAACTTTCACACAGTTTCTTTGCAAGTTTGTTTGTTTACATATGCATTATCAACCACAAGGACGTGTGGAGAAACGCATTGTCAGTCGCAAGTTGCATTCCTTCCTAGCACTCCCCCCCTCTTCTTTTTGTCTCCGATGTCAAGTCCGATGTAATTTGCAGGCCGAGCCGCAGGAGAAGCAGGAGCGTTCCGAATCGCTTGGCGGCTATGGGACGGGTGATTTTTCGGGGACAGCGCTGGCAGGTTTCCCAGTTGCTGAATGGCTGTGTGGTCCCCCAACGTTCAGTCAGCAGGAAATCCAACCTGCCAGTTTATCATACAATCATTTGGGGTGCCCCCCTCCAGTGGTGCCCCCCTCCTTTGCATTTCACAGGCACACCAACAAGCTTCTATTTGCGGGCTATTTTCTTGCTAACAGCAAACTATTAGAGCGGAGTGGAAGTACTGGTAATAACACGCTACTAGCCAGCTATTTGTTATTTGGTTCTATTAGCACACTCACACCGCAAATTTGGCCCACACAGTTTTGGCTTGTATACTGAGGAGTTTGAGAAGTCTGAAGGTATGCATGCTAGAAACATATACCACGCTGCTCTTGTGTGTTTGGCCTTTGGCTTTCCATTCCGAACATAAACCAGCATTGCCTCCTGAAATGAGGGATCCTTTGGTGGTGCGGGGGGGCCACAGGAGGCTGAGGGGTGAGCCTTCAGCCGGCGCATTGACAAACCACCCAGTTGGTGCTATTAGGCAGCTATTAGCTTGCTATTAGCAAGCTAATTGGGGGGGGGGGGCCCCCCCCCTGTACACGGGGAGGGTGCGCAGTTCTCCTTCAAAACGGTAAATGGAGCTTTATTGAATCGCCTAGAAATGGTTTTGGTGCCCGTGCGCTTGATTCTTCGCTTTTGGTGAAATATGAAAAGACCAGTGAGACTGGGTTGGGGCCCCCCAGTGAAATGCGATTCCTGTCGTTTAGGCCGGGCAGCTTTAGGCCCAGTGAAATGCTAAACTTTAGGTCCAGAACTTTTTGTTTGCTAGCATTCCTGAGCTTGGGATTCCTAGGCCATTTCCCTCCATTCATGTGAACAGGGTAACTCATTTTGTGCAATGGCCGATGTCGGTTCGGGTCACCAACTCCGCAAAGAAACCAACGCACGGAGTCTGCGCTGAAGTCAACTCCTTGCCACACCTCTTGGGACCCCGGAGTCAGCTTTAGGTGTTTTTTTCATTTTCCCATGCCCATGTGCGGGTAGGGTGTTTGTCAAGATTCTTTTGGGAATTATGGAGCTTTAAGAGGCTATAAGGGAAGCCGTTCCAACCCAGCAGTAGGGCTTGGGGTCTAGTACCATCAAGCGCTACCTATGGCCCCCTGCCGTGGCTTGAAGCCGGCATTTGATTGAAACATGGCACAACCACCAAGGGCCCAAGTATCTCATCTTGGCGGCTTTCGGAACTTATCACTTGGCCATGCCATTTCATCTCCCCCCCGTTTTTAAAACACACACATATCAGTGTACGTGGCACCTCTTTGGACAAACATAGCGCCAAAGCTCAACATCCCCGTGCCGTCCCCCACGGCTCGAGCGGGCGCAGGATCACATCGTGGCGGCCTGGCATATGAGATGCAAATGTTGGGCTGCTGGGTGCTGAGGGTGGGTGTTTTGTTGGTTTCTTAAGGAGTTTTGAGGGACGGGTGGATTGGATGGACAAAATATCCACTTCGCGCCAGTTGCGATGGATGAAGCCCTATGTGAACTGGGATGGACCACCTACCAACTGGTTCAGGATTTTGTCTATCCACAGTATGTAGCCCATATGCGCATGTTGCGGAAAACTAATCACAAGGGGATGGATCATGATTGGGTTGCCAGACCGGCCTCTTTTCGCCACATTCAACTGTGAATGGACCAAAACTTGGTGATGGCAATTGTCACTTGGGCCGTGCTGAACCCAACATGTTCAGCCCTTTTGCACAAGGCTTCAAGGGTTGAAAGCTCAAAGAAGTGCAAGCTTTGCCCTCAATGCTTTAAGTGGGGTTTCATCCCCTATTATTTCCCAGTTTTGCGTTGAGACGCCCTCCATGTTCCGAGGCTTCAATTGAAAGAAGGGCCATGCGAATGTGTGGAGCTAAGCCCCATTAGGGCGATCACTGAGCTAACTCGTGAGAGAGGTCATCCACCCAAATTGGGATTTGGTGAATCCTGCAGTCTTTGCAGGTGATGTTTGGATTCTTTGCATCACCTCAGGCCATTTGCCGATTGAAGTTTCACCACCCTGTGGAAATTGTGAGCAACCAGCGAAAGAGGTCAATCTGCTTGCGCACGAGGCGACAGTATAAGATACATAGGCTTTTCCATTGGCGTAGCCTGTATGTTGCGTGCCTTTCTTATTCATGTATCTTTGTTCATTTGTTCACATACAGTGTTCCGATATCGGGCAACTAAATGAGCAGCGGGCAATATTGTCAGCGTATCGGTTTTGGGTGGGCGATCGGTTTTGGGTGCTGATATTACCCGTCTTCATCTCAACATCCACCATCCAACATATAATTTGTTGTTCAGGTAATTCGCAAAACACACACACACAACATACAACTTAAACTATCATATGGCTGTGTCTCAAAAACATGCACCCAAATGGCACCTTGGTAAATGGAGCCGGAAACTGAATCCTACGTAGCCCTAGTTCCTTAATTTTTGGCCACACCCAAAGCAACGTGCAAGTACAGTATCTACACCTCCCTGGGCTTCTCTCGAGGAGTTGATTGCGTCCCAGCTGCGGCGTTTGGCCAATCCGGACGGTGAGCGGATCAGCCAGGAGAAGTTGTCCGGCGGCCCGGGCGGGGGGGAACGAGCGAGCCGACGTCAGGTTCCGTTTGCGACGGCACTGCAGGATCCTTTCGCAGGTTCCCCTTGTTTTCAGCCAACTGTTTTATTTTAAGACTTTTGCTTGACACACCGATTCAGGGCCCACGCGCAAGGGAGCCATTGCAGTGGCCAGTCAGGACCATTGTGGGCCATAGCCCTCCTATGGCTCCTATGGCTATGGCCCGGAATCGGCATCCAAGGGAGCTGATCAAGATACGGCAAGGGGAACCAGGTGCAACCCGGTTGAGATACTTCCAGCAACATGAAAACGGATTTTGAGGTCCGGCCAGCAAACGTCGCAATTCGGGGTGTAAGCGTATCTTCCCCTCATTCTTGTCCTAGGACTGGTCCCAAAAAGTCAAAAGTCCAAGTCAAGGTTCTGCTTTTAGTAGGTGGCTCTACTGCCTGGCGTTCTGGTGGTTATTGTTTGCCCTTTTATAAGCCTTTTTTCCACACCCATTTGGATGGAGCCAACACCCATTGGGCCACAAGACCTTAGACAGAACCTGCTCAGGTGCACCTTCTTCCAGCTGCTCGGCATGGACGTGGCCGACCTGCACCACGCCTTGTGCGCGGCGCAGATGCAACACACCAACCTCGTCAAGGCCTTCCGAGCCGAATTCTTTGTTCGCAAAGGTACTGTGGATGGACGAAACCCTGCACCACTATGAAACCATGGTTGATTCCATTGTTTGTTGGTATTTACGGGGGAATCGAATCATTCTAGGGTTTCTTGGGTGGTGCGTTGCATGGATTTCGCAACCATCCACAGGGCGCTGCATACGACTGAAGTGGCCGGGGCCTCCAAAGTGAGCTTACGTTATTCTGGGGTTGGCTCACTTCCCGAGTTCCTGCATTTTGGACTTTCTGGACAGGTAAATGGGAAGTTTGGACTTGTTTGGCCAAACCACTCAGGAAGTGAGTTGGCTAAGTTTAAGGAGAATCTAGCTTCTGAAAGTATAATTTGTACCATGGGATTGGGACAAGCAAAGGGTACACCCCAAATAAGCAGTGAACAAGTTTCAACCGAGCGTTGAATTGGGTTCAGGTGTCGTATACTGCTTCGCGGTCGGGTTTCCAGGGGCTTGTTGAGGGGGATATGGTGCAGCTGTCCATTCATGGATTGGGACAGGAGGGGTTTGGAAGACGACCATCCCCTTTAACAGGCCCAGTGTCCACTTCCATGAGCGTTGGCAACCGGATATGTGCTCTTCACTTTTGGGGTGGGGTCCCCTTCATTTTTCTAACAAGCCAAACAAGTATATATATATATATAGACATATAAGTAATGAAATATACACACATATATGTGTACACACATAGTATATATATATATATATAAAAGAAACTCGTGATGACCCTTAGTTGCTAGTTTGGATCGGTGCTTTGGGAGTTTAGTCGCCGGAGGCATCCCACCTCCAAAGCCTTGAGCGGGTGCAAAAAAACGATGTGGTAGCAGAACCGACCTGCTTGCTTCATGCCACTCCTTGGGCCGTTGCAACAGAAAAGCTCGGCCTTTGCCATGCGTTGATCAAGGTAAATCCTTGCAGGTTCCAGAGTAGAAGATTTGGAAAGCGTCCTTGGGAAAGCCCACCTGACAACATCCAATCAGAGTCGCCCTCTCTCAAACCGCACATGCAGACAGAATCCTGCCTTTTCTGGGCTTGTTTTACACAAAAAGCCACAACTAACCATGTGCATGGCGAAGGATTTGGCTGAAGTGCTGCGGGCACCAGCACAAATAAACCGAATTCCGCACGAAGCAAGCATGGCACTAGTTTGTCTCTTGGAACGTGGGTGGATTCCCCAGCGGTCAAAAAATCGCAGGAGGGCATGGTGGACTACATTACCTTCACCCAGTGGCTGCTCTCCGGGTGATTTCCGCCGAGAATTGGCCAATCAATTCGAAGGAGGCCGCCAGTTTCACCGAAGAGAACGAGTTCGCTTGCGAAAAGCTGAGCAGGGTTGGGCGAACCCCTGGTTGACACGTGTAGAAGCCACAAGTCTTCAAACAAGCTCCTTTTGGTCACCCGCTGCACCGGTTTCTCCAGTGTGGCAACCGGCGCTTTCTGGCAGATTCTGACACTGGGCCAATGTACGCCTCCCATGTTTGCCCTCCGGCGCCTAGGAAGTGGCATTCAAGCTGATCGCAACGTCGAGGTGCTGAGGGCAACGGCTCCGCAGGCGTTAGGCGTATGTTCCTGTCTGAAGGTGGCCGAAGCGACTCATTTCTCCCTTGAAGTTCCTTGAAGCCATGTTTTTTGCGGCCGATTCCCTGGAATGATGGATATGCCCAGGCACAAGTGTGTAGACGTTTGTCCTACTATTGTTATGCATAGCAGCTCTTTACTGCCCATTCTAATTAATCATGCTGGCCCTACTAGCCCGTTCTTTTCAACCAGGCAGAAGCTTGCGAAAGTGTCCCGCTAGCTCTTCTGGCTATAGTTGTGATTGGACAGCTTCCGAACCCGAACAGCCCTTCAGACTTGGATACCTTTGGACATGAGCTCCCGGACTTCCTGGACTTCCTGGACTTCCTGGACTTCCTGGACCATTTGTTTTTGGGAGCGGGAAGTGAGGAATCCATTTTGTTTTTTTTGGGCAAAAGCTGCGATGGTTCGGACTGGTGCCCTGTCTAGCAAAAGAAGCCCCAGGCCGCGCCAGACTGGGTGTTTTGCATGGAGCGCAGTTGTTGCGAAGCGGATTTCGATTGGCAAGAAGGGCACCCTTTGTGTTGTTGGTTGGCTTTGCCGGCTCCCAAAAGGAGCGATTTATGGAGCGTGGCTTGATTGGGGCAGAGTTGGGAAAATACTCTTGATGCTTGCAAGCTTGCTTGCCCTTTTTGCTTTGCTGTCATTCGGTTTGGCAGCCGTTTTGATCTTTGCACTTTTGAACGTGAGGCTGCTCCCTCACAAAATAGATGGTGAAACAACAATATCTGAAGTCACCTCCAAAACAATGATGATTTCATTGCTTGTTTTGTTTTTTGATTTAGATATCACGTCTTCGTTCCATATTTTCGCGTTAGGGCAAGCGAAATAAAATAGGGCATTATCCGATTTGTTTGTTTTACTGTTGGGCCAAGGATACCCTCGGAAGAGGGGCGTGTGTGTTGGCCCTACGCTTGTTTTCCAAGACGCCGCTTGCCGGTCCGCAGGTGCTGAGGGACTTGCCACCAGGCGAAGCGTAGCCCGGAAAGTGGAAAAGATGCGCTAAGAGTGCGGAGTAGGATGGGGTCAATGCTGATGAGGAGTGATGATGATGGATCCTAGTGTTGCAGGAATTCATGTTTTGGAACTGGAATTAGCGGAAGTATTTTGCAGATGACCTGGACTTACAATGGTGCTTTGGATTTCTGGTTTGGGCAGTTGAACCCCCTGGTTGTTGTTGGGGAGACTTGCCGCTGATCTCCTCTCACCAGCTCAAACTACCGTTTAAGGGACGCTGGACCCTTGTCAGCACGTGATTGTGCTCCTTCCGACTTGACTTTGCCAGCCACCGCTACGGTCAAACTCAACAAGGCTTAGCCCGGCAAAGTACAAGCGCCCTCCAATGTGGAAGGTGCTTGCTTTGTGTTCCGGAAATGCAAGTGCATAAGTTTCGAGTGTAGGATGATGAAGGCACAACTGCCTGTAGCTTGTTCGGAAGACGCACTTTTTTGTTACAAGTACTATAGCCAGCCCAAACTTGCACTTAGCGGGCAGCAGCCTCCACAATCCGTTTCCCCCCGGTCAGCTTTGGGCAATTTGCAAGCTTTTTTCCTTTCTTTTTCCGGTGACATGGCTTGGGATTGACTTGGAGCCACTTTGGTCGACAAGAGTCCTTTTTTCATGCTTCTGGGCCCATACGGGGTCTTTGGACATGTTTCCTTTTTTCTGTTTGCCTGTCGGGTTTCTTGGTTGACCATGTCATACCCCCTCGGAAAAATCTTCAGACAACGGGCGAAAGCGGCGCACCGAACCCGCTGACTGGCTCAGGCAGTTAGGGGAGTTTTCGCCAGGCAGAAATGCGGTGTCCTTTTTTCAGGGTGCCCGATTTAGGAACCCAAAGGGAAACCATCGCTTTTGAGGGTTCCCTCAAAGACAAACCTGTTGAAGCTGTCAACTGTCAAGTGGTTTCCCTTCACACTTCTATGATTGGAAAACGATACTCCCTGAACATTCTCAGGGAACTCCTACGAACTCAACAATATGTAGTTCTAAAGGTGGCAGGTCCTATGGGGTGCCAAGTGGGCAAATTTGAAACCAGCCAAATATAAACAGTCAGGAACCTTTCCAGTCCACATGCAACCCAAAAAGGGGTTAGGCTACAGGATTGTTGGGAGAAACCAACAGGCACCACCCAATAAATGTGTGGTGCGCCAGAAGGTACCGAACATTTTAATCGATCTCGGCACGGGCACGGGATTACTAGAAGTTGTGACTTCGGCAGTTCCATGTCAATCCTGGCTGCTTCTTTGTTTCGCCGTTTGTCTTGAACAGCGCTTCCAATCGGGCACAATGTTCATCACCCTAGGGCCTTCTTCAGGCAAGCCCAATCGAGGGCCACAGCTTCGGCTCTTGCGACTTTGCATCCCATGGCTTTGGATGCTGCCAGCACGCGAGGAGACATTTTCAGGAGGGATGCGAGGGCAGGTGAGCCAGCTTGCAGTCTGGGCTTGGGGAGAACAATCAGCAGGGCACCAAAGCGCAGGAACCAAGCCCTTGAAGAGTCAGAATAGTCAGAGGAAACAGGCAAAAATCAGTCGCATCGTCGGCAGATCATCACCCTTTCTTCGAAAAGGGCACTCCGGGATGGTTTAAACATCTTTGTGGATGTCCAAGCAAGAATAGAAACACAAGCCTATTATATCGGCGTGCCGGGGTCCCCACAGCTTCAGATGGGCCCGCATAGCCGCGCTGCATATTTGTGGTTCACTAAATTTTACACACCAGTTGTCGCGGGTGGCTTGTTTGGATCAAGGTGAGACTTTCTGCACTTCCCGGGCAAGGGACGACTTGCACAACGTTGTTTTGACCATTCAGGGCTGAAATATCCCAACATCCCGGCAGGTCCACCTGTTATGCCGAAGTCCTTGGGCAAAAGAGACACAACAGAAGGCAGCTGTTCAATCGTTTCACCCCCTGGGCTTTTTAAAACCCGCTTTCCGTCCTGTGAGGAGCTTCAGAGGTGGCACGCCCGGTGTTGCGCGCATACTGTCGGCGCTCGGTTCCAGGCGTTTGGCGTCCCCTTCAAGCCACCCATTCGAAGGTTGAGAGGCTCCCTTTGCTGTTTTATTCTGGTCGGCCAATCCAAGATGGAGCCCAAACAGTATTCTCAGAGGATGAATCCAAGGCGGAAGAATCTTTGGGCGTGGAGGGCTCATTGATTTATTTGTGCGAGAGAGACGGGCAAGGAGAACACGAAATTTCATGTCCAGCAAGCATATCCCGTTTGGACCTTCTCTGTGATTTAGGTCAGTCAAGAACTCAGCCGCTTTTCGAACCTCCCCAGGGGTGTAAGGGATACTTTGGTGCATTTTGCTTGGATGTTAGGACTTTAAATTGTTGCCAACTAACGTTTTTTCCCATTAAACCACGAAAAATGACTAAAAGCTATATTTTTAGCAGGGGGGCAGAAAGCAACCATGGACGTATCGCGGATGTCGCGCCTCAACCTCCACGCCGTTGCTTGAGGTGCACCAAGGAGATCACTGCTGCTGGCAGGCGGTGCGCCGGGGTGCCCAGGACAGAAACGCATGGGCTGCGTCGGTCCCAATGGGAAGCCCGGAGTAACCCCCCTCTTTGTGTTTTCTTTGTTTGTTTTGACTTCTTTCCGTTTTTTTTTTTGTTTTTCGTTTTCCCCCCTTTTTTGAAAGGGGGGCGGAGCGGGAACTGCTGCATATCCCCTGCGGCAAGGGCAAAAAGAGCATGTTGCACCTTGCCTGCTTGAACATGAAAGTCGTGGCAAACGCCGTAAGGGAACACCCACTTGAGGAACAACTCTCCCCAAGTGGGCAGAGTCCGATGCAATAAATGATATGAAATATATGCATACTGGATGTTAACTTGCGCGAGGTCCCGGGGAATAGTTTGCAGAAGCGTTCCAAGGGCTTCTGAAAAAATCGCGCACACCACCACTCTTCCAGTGCCTCAACCAGCTCAGATTACGTTTTTGCAACCAAAAAACACAAAGGTTTCCAACCGGTAACCCCACACGCCAAGACCGCTTGGACCATGCCACAGCATGCCGTTTCAATGCTATCCGGGCCAATCAAGCCTTGTGCCAGCAAAACACACGCCACACAAGGACTCCAAATCTCTGTCAAAACATGCGGACATACCTTAGCAAGCTTGTCTCGGGAAGCGCTGCTCCCATTTGCTCCGAGCAATGTTCCGGAATAGGGTAATGCAAGTGACTACATCACGATGGCGCAGCCCTTTTCCTTAGGGAGTTGCAGATTTCTGAGGATAATGCTCGCTTGTAAGTTCGCCTTCAGGTTTCCAAAGATATGGATGAGTTTCGAATGTGCCCCAATTTTAGGCTTGCTTTTCTCCACGTCTTAGCCTGAGCTTGGAGATGTTCCAAGCTCTCCAAACTTAAGCTCGCTTTCTCCTAACTCAGCCCTGAGACATCAATTTGGGGGTCCCTAAAGTTGGCCTTTACTCAGCCTGAGTTTCGAGATTTGCCGAACTTAGTCTGGTCTATATTGACCAAACAAAACCCTTGTTTGACCCATTCAATTTCCATCGAAAAGCGGATAGTCGCCACCAATACATTTGCGAAACGCGTCTTCGCACGCAAAGCCAGGCGAGTTTGCAAAACACGGGCCTGAGCGTGAAGATTATCCAAACTCAAGCCGACTTTGGAGAAAACAGCCCTGACTGAGTTTGGAGAATCATCTCAAGCCGGGCCGAGTTTGGAGAAACGAACTGAGTTTGGAGAATCTCCAAACGCAGGCCCCAGTTTG